CAACTGGGATGGTGCCACCCTGGGAGTTGGTGCCCTACGCAAACTGCGTTCTCTGCGTATAGGGAGCGGCGGTACTGGGCGTGGACTCCACTGGTGGGTCTGATCATTCTTCAGGCTTATGTGCACGACTGTAGAGGACTGATTGGAGAGCGTATTAATGCCACTTTGTCAGAATTAGGAGGTTAAATGGTTGTCAGGGCTTCGTTGTCACATTGCCTTAGAGGACAAGGCAAGAGAAAAAGCCCATTAACAGAAGCAGTCCTTTTTCCCCCCCTGTGTACCTCTCTGCCACTGTGTCACTAATTTTCTTCTCCACAGTCCCTTTCTCCACCTATCCTTTATCACCGTGCTCGTCCCCAGCGTCCAGGCCTGCAGATTCCCGCAGAGAGACAGACATCACTTAATCAGCTGCTTTGTTTCTTGTTCAGATTGGAGCTTGTTCCTCTTGAGAGGTAGTTCCTGGAGGACGCCACCACCACCCAACAGTATAACAGCCCCACGAGCCCCTGTTTAGTGCACACCAGCATGTGGCGCAGCAGAACATACCAGTATGCTGATTAGTTTGAGAGGATGCTACAGAGTGAGGAAGGACAGTTGACATTAGGGCATCAGAGGTCTTCACGCAAACCAGTAGCACTCTTGTTTCAATGCCTCTTTCTGAATTGCAGATCTGTGGTATGTTTTCACCTGTCAGCGGTGGCTGACAAGAGTGCACCTTTGGGTGTCCTTACCTCAAGGTGCAGAACAAGGTAGCGTTTATGCAAAAGAATGACTTGAGGAGAGTGTATTTTTCACATTTTGTCAGTCTGACCTTCATATTTTTCTCTTTTTAATGAGCATTTTAACATGAATCCCTGTCCATTTTTACCTCTTTAGAGACTCCATTCTCTTGTTCTTTATTATCATGGATTGATGGAACTTAAAACAGGGAATAATCTTCTCGTAAATTATGTGCTAAACAAGACTGGTTTTACTGGTTGTCTGCATGAAGGAACTTGACTTTAAATGGCTCTATAAAAGATCTCTGAGTCTTTGGGCATTTAATGGCCAGTCCTTTTCCGGATTTAGCCAAGAGCTGGAGAATAGATTCAACCACTGCTCCATATCCATAATATTACTCATGTACCACCAAGGCCAGTACCTTTGAAATATGAATAGTCTTCATTTCATTAGCCTAAACCAGCCTTTACTCCATATGTGCACACATGTGAAAAAGCTCATTTAAAAGCACTTTTGTTTGGATACTCATTTAACTGTTGTCTTCTTTATTTGCTTTATCTTGTAGGAAAACCCCTATATGTGCAACAATGAGTGTGACGCAGCCACAGATGAGCTGGCCCACCCCCCTGAGCTCATGTTCGACCATGAGGGCCGCAACCCCACCACCTTCTGGCAGTCCACCTCCTGGAAGAAATATCCTAAACCTCTGGTGGTCAACATAACCCTGTCATGGAACAAGACTATTGAGCTGACCGATGATATTGTCATCACTTTTGAGTCGGGTCGGCCAGAGCAAATGGTTTTGGAGAAGTCTCTGGACTATGGACGTAGCTGGCAGCCCTACCAGTTCTATGCTACCGACTGCCTTGACGCTTTCACTATGGAGCCCAAAACGGTGAGGGACATTACCCAGCACACATTGCTGGACATCATCTGCACCGAGGAATATTCAAGAGGTTACGTGTGGAAGAACGACAAGACTGTACGCTTTGAAATCAAAGATCGTTTCGCACTGTTTGCCGGGCCCAAGTTGCACAATATGGCCTCGCTGTATGGACAACTGGACACCACCAAGAACCTGAGAGACTTTTTCACCATTACTGACCTGCGCATACGTCTTCTCAGGCCTGCCACGGGCGCCACCATGGTGGATGAGTACAACCTTTCCAGATACTTCTACGCCATCTCTGGCATTAAAGTACATGGCAGGTAAGACATTTATCTCAGTTGCAGTCAAATTTTGGTTGGGAATTGTTGCCCTCAGCTCTTTTCTTTTTTCATTTTCCTAACAAACCATTTTTCATTCTGTAGTTCTGTGTATTGGGAGGTAGGCAGGTGTACTTTGCTTTATATTTTTAGGGGTATGTTTTATACGTAGGCTTGATTTATTTAAACAGCTAGACAGAACTACAGTGTATAGTCTTACAATTATTTTTAACAATATATAAAAAAGATCTGGGGGAAACATTTAGTGTACTTTGGGAATCAAGCAAAAACTACTGTTCTTATTAACTATTTAATTTCAGTGTGCGTGTTTTTTTCCAGAATGAGAACCTTATTGAAATTAGAAAGCTTTTTTAGATAGTTCTTCATGTTTTATTAAATTCTTGCATAGTAAGGATTTTTTTTTTTTTTTTGCAGTGTTCTGAAATATATTTTCTAATTTGAAACCCTGTGATCAATCTCTAGACTGTGAAATTCACTGTTCTGACACCCAGGCTATAAACAGGGTTTCATTCTCTAATTATACAAGTATCAGGGGCCGTATCCGCCTCCATCTCATCTCACCTTTACATGTTCATTTCTTTCAGTCTTAACAAGGAGATGAGCTTAAAGGGATAAGTTCAGCATCTGTCCCTGCCTGTCCATCTCATTAGTGTCTGAGGTCAATAATAAAGATGCTAATTAATTCAAAGAAAGTATATTTTAAATATCTAATGTAGGTGAAACTTTCTGACATTTTATTTTGTGGTATGTTTTATTTTATTCTATTTTATTTGTATCTTTTAATAGTACACAGAATACAGGATATTCTACAGTATTTCGTAAGTAATTAGCAAATGGATTGTTTTATTATAGGGGAATTAAACTGCGGAAAGTAGGCAAAGAAAGCTGATCCTATAATAGCAAACTTCACATCAGAGTGTACTAGGGGTGAATTAAAGTAACAGCGCATTGTTTTCAGTAAATATGAACATGGATTGACACGAAAATGTAGTAATTACTCCATAAATGCATGTTATTAAAGTCTACTGGGTTTCACAGTCAACACATATGGCTTTTTGGCTAGGTTTAAAGGGAAAGAAGATAAAGATAAAGAAAACTTTTAGATAAAAAAAGACAATAATAGATGGCACTCGCGGAGGTAGGATAACAAAGTTCTTTATTAACCGCAGGATTACTTGTAATAAAGAATGCATTTTGCATTAAATGCAAAAGAAAAGGCAGTAGAGCTGACTGTTTCTGTCAATGGTAAGTTTGTGAGAACGTAAGAAATGTGGTTTAAATGTTTTGCCACTTGCTTGAGCAACTTAATATATAAATCTAGAAGTAAATACAAAAGTAAAAAGAATTGAATAATGTGTTGCTTATATTTATTGAGTTCAAACATGTCTGTGAAAGATTGTATTACTGTACTGTGTAAAAAAAGAATCACAATGTTGAAAAAGCATTTTCAGTGACAATGTTTGGATTTAAAATCAAAATAATGGATAAATGTTGTGTTTGTGGTAAACAGCCACGGATCAGTAGCGGACTCCTGTGTGAAAGCAGTCAGTGCTGCTTCCCCTCTCACAAGAGTCACCTAAGAGGGGAATTCCCCCCATTTTCAAAAATGAAATTCAGGCCCTGAATAAATGTCTAAAAATCCTGATTGGAGTATCACTATAAATAGTTATAAATGATAAAAAGAAGGCTTTAAAAAGATCGGTATCGGTGATCGGTATCGGCAGATACTGCTTTCTGTGATCGGTGATCGGCCTCAAAAATCCTGATCAGAGCACCCCTAGAGTGTACAATGCCGTGTTTTGAGTGTGTGGATGTTTCTAAACCTGTTACTTGGTGAAGATGACAGTTGATCACAGAAGGCTGTAAATTTTAAACTTCCCTCAAGGCTGTGTTCTCATTAGTGATGCGCGGATGAGCTAAAACGTCACCCGAATCCGCAGCTTCAAATAAATTATCCACCCGCCAAGTTCTCATTAATGGTGCACAGTGATGATCGGTTAGTGTCATCTCTGATGGATAGTTATGAGAGCATGACTTGCCGTCTTGTTTCTAAAAAGGTAATCCAGAGTTCAGCAGCATGCCTGTTGTTGTGGGTTTTTCTCTGAGCCTCCCTGTCATGGAAAATCATGATTCATCTCCCTCCACATGCTCACAGGAAGCATATGCTCCTTCATCCGCTGAAATGTGTTTCTGCCTCACGGTACATGAGCCACTAGAGTCTGGCAGGAGGCAGATGACCCCAAGCACAGGAATTCCTGATCTCAGAAGAGATTTAGTCTATATCGGTTTGAAACAAAGGAGCCAAGATGTAGCCCTAGAACAGAGAGCTAAGTAGGTCAACAAAATGAAAGAAAAGAGAGGAGAAGGTACGCTTTAGTCAAGTGTCACACACTAATGTTTGTTGTGTGGAGATACTGTTATTATTAATAATAGTTTAATATAATATTTTATTATGAGGGTCAAGTATGTAATTTTTGGAAGAGCAGATCGATATCTAATAGTGGAAATAAATTGGAGTGGTGTTTGTTTGTGTGAGAAACAAGTTAAAAAATAACAATTATGTTGCCCTTTTAACATCAGAAGTGACTTTGTACAATCACTGTAAAACCTATTAGATTATAGACTATATTCTAAATGGAATACTAGCTTACTTATTGAATTGTGCACTGTATACATACATGCATACATATGTATGTATTGTATACTGTATGTACACACACACACACACACACACATACACACTACCCATTATTTTTACAATATTTAAAAATATATATTATTGTTATCTATATATTTCAAAATATAAAGCAGTAAAATTATATTAATTAATTAATGAATAGATAGAATATTAATTATATTTATTTTGCATTTTCAATTACATTTTTGTGGCTCAGTTAAATTTACATCTGGTTTATCAGTGACACTGGAAATGGAAGTTTAAGTTAAGCATTGCATGTTGAAATACGCTATTCCATGTAGTAAGCATTTTAGCAAATGTAGTAGGTCACAAAATTAGCATACTTTGCACTGTATACATACTAGATACGACAGCAGTAGTAATAGTTTCTTTCTCTCCCTCTTGCAAACTACACACAACACTTCTTTCTCCCTGTCCTTCCATGTCTTTCTTTTTCTTTCTTTCACTTCATTCCTCATTCCCCCCTCCATCTGTGTTTGATCAATAGAGTGTAATTAAAGGAGGGATGAAGCAGGCTACTGGAGGAACAGCTTGAGTCTGACTCTGTCTCCTCTGACACACTGCTGGCCCTCATTCATTCTGATGTATAATGTATGCATTATACATCAGCCCTCTCTCTCAACCGCAGTCTCTGCAGGAGAACCAAAGACTCCTACTGTTCCTGGTTAGCTTGCAGTGAAGAAAAAGAGGGGTGTAAATGTCTCATTCAACAGCTAAAAGATTGTCTAAAAGACAATCTTTTAATTTGTAATCACAACTGTCATGCTGTCTTTTTAGATTGATACATCATTGTGCGATACATAAACAGTCAGGAAAGAAATTGAATGAGCAAATCTTACAGAACAGCATTAATTGTGTTTTAGTAGTTTGTGGTTGGATGGTTCATTCACTCATGAGCACATTGAGCAGGTCCTTCAGTGGCTTATTAACTTTTTGACATTTCTTTATTGACTAAAAGATGAAGTATGTATATATTAATTATGATAAAATATTATTTTTTATAAAATAAAATAAAATATATTTTTAACCCCCCAACTCATTGATCGTTTAATTGCAGTCCTCCTTGGCTCCTCGGACAGGCAGTCGTTCACCGAGAAGTCAATGTGTTTTTCTCTTTTTCTTTTTTTCCGGGCTGCTTGGGCCAGGAACCGGAGGACAGATAATCTATTTGTGCTAATTTCGAGATTCACCCCCCACACACCCCTTCCTGAATAAGTCATTCCGCTCTGTATCTTCCTCTTGCCATCTCATGTGCTGCGCTCGGCACTTCAGCTCTTCCACATCAGCACATTTCATTGGTCCGGTCATCTGATGTTTCAGCAGTCTTCTGTTCCACATGCTCTTTCACCACAAAACTTAATCTAATCATGTTATAACCTCCCGGCCTCAGATGATTGCAATCCGATTTGCATTTCTCTGATTCTATTTAAAGCGTTTGATTTTGTGCTATTGTTACAGAAATGGAAGAATTCCAGTGCAACTTTTTATATCGGTTGATATGGACACCGATTTAGATATTTTCCATTTGACCTCTTAACACCATTGACACATCAGGAAGCTGCTGCCCAGGCAGTTAATCTGAGACTGTGTGTGTGTGTGAAATTTTACTTTCTTGATATGTTTACACAAGAAAATAGAGCTGTTACTCCATTTCAAATGCTTTTCTTTTATCTGTTAGTTATCCATTTTTAGTTAGGCCCGGATACAGTTGTCTCCCTTGGGGATCGATGATACGGTGATTGATCGTTTAATTGCGGTCCTCCTTGGCTGCTCGGACAGGCAGTCGTTCGCTGAGAAGTCAATGTGCTTTTCTCGTTTTTCTTTTTTTTACGGCCTGCTTGGGCTGTGCTGAGGCCAGGAACCTCCCGGCCTCAGATGATTGCAATCCGATTTGCATTTCTCTGATTCTATTTAAAGCGTTTGATTTTGTGCTATTGTTACAGAAATGGAAGAATTCCAGTGCAACTTTTTATATCGGTTGTGTGTGTGTGTGTGTGTGTGTGTGTGTGTTTCTACTGTGAGAAACAGAATTGGAGCACAAGAGATCCAAATGATGAAGTGTAATTACACACCCAATTGATTCTGGCACCTGTTTGATCATCCAGTCATCATGTTATTCACAAACGCCGTTTCCAGGCATCAGCTCAGCTAAGAAAACAATTTAATGTGTAAAAATACACACTTGACCCTGCAGATACGTAGCTGTTGTCACTGATCCCTTGAGCCAACTCAAGAAATGTCCAGTTTATTTTCTCAGTCTCCCAGAATTCACACCCTAAATCAG